CTCTCGGTGGTTGTCTGGGTGATTCTTGACTGGACCAGATTCTTCTGCCTTTTCATGGCGATAGAGGTAGTTGTAGGCAGGTGGCATATCTGTCTGCTGGGAGAACAAAGTCCCTTCATGCTTGCTGGGTGCCTTGCCCTTCTCCGCTGCTGTGTTGTTTACCCGCACACCAGGAGGAGCCTCTGGTTTAATACACTGAGCTGCTGTGGCGGGGCAGCCCTCAGAGTAGCCCAGAGCCCTGTGGAGAGTTGCAGGTGCACCGGATGTGTTCTCCTATAAGAATGGAGCCCCTTCGTGCCTTGTTCCAGCTTTCTCTGTCTCTGCCAGGCAGCTGCACGCCAGCAGCAGCAGGTCTGTATGGCCCTGGTAGCTGCACGCTGGGAGGAGACTCAGGGCCGTTACTGTGGGCGGTATCACTCTCCAGCTACTCCGCCGCTGCAGCAGGGCAGTGCCAGCCAGGGGGAACAAATGGCAGGCTGCTTATTGCTGTGAGGTACTTCAGAGCTATATTCCCACCCAGGGGGTTAGAGAGCCTGAAGTTCCTTAGGATTCCAAGCCTGCTGGGCTGAGTGTGCCTGGACTATTCCATCCAGCTGTTAAGCCCCTATCCCTTTAAGACTTTCAAAAAGTACTCTTTTTTCTTTTATCCCAGGGGAGCTGGCTGTGGGGACCTGCTCGCAGATTTTACTTTTCTGTTTCTCTTATATCCAGTACACCATGCAATGTGTGTCTTTGCTCCCAGTGCAGATTACTAGGGCTGGTTATTTAGCAGTCCTGCGCTTCCCCTCCCTCCCCACTCTGACTCCTTTCTTCCTGCCGGTGAGCTGGGGTGGGAGAGTGCTCAGGTCCCGACTGATCGTGATTTTGTATCTTACCCTTTTCGTGAGATGCTGAGTTCTTGCAGATGTAGATGTAGCCTGGCTGTTGTACTGCATCTTCTGATCTCTCTGTTAGGCATAGCTGTATTTGTTGTATTTTCAAAAAAATATATATATGCATCTATGGCGATGCTCATGTGGTTTTTGTCCTTCTTTTTGTTGATGTGGTGGATGATGTTGATGGATTTTCAAATGTTGTACCATCCTTGCATCCCTGGGATGAATCCCACTTGGTCATGGTGTATGATCCTTTTGATGTATTTTTGAATTCCGTTTGCTAATATTTTGTTGAGTATTTTTGCATCTACGTTCATCAGGGATAATGGTCTGTAGTTTTCTTTTTTTGTGGGGTCTTTGCCTGGTTCTGGTATTAGGGTAATGTTGGCTTCATAGAATGAGTTTGGGAGTCTTCCCTCCTCTTCTAGTTTTTTGGAAAACTTTAAGGAGAATGCGTATTATGTCTTCTCTGTATGTCTGATAAAATTCCAAGGTAAATCCATCTGGCCCGGGTTTTTTGTTCTTGGGTAGTTTTCTGATTACCGCTTCTGTTTTGTTGCTGGTAATTGGTCAGTTTAGATTTTGTATTTCTTCCTTGGTCAGTCTTGGAAGGTTGTAGTTTTCTAGAAAGTTCTCTATTTCTCCTAGGTTTTCCAGCTTGTCAGCATATAGGTTTTCATACTAGTCTCTAATAATTCTTTGTATTTCTGTGGGGTCCGTCATGATTTTTCCTTTCTCATTTCTGATTCTGTTGATGTGTGTTGACTCTCTTTTTCTCTTAATAAGTCTGGCTAGAGGCTTATCTATTTTGTTTATTTTCTTGAAGAACCAGCTCTTGGTTTCATTGATTTTTTTCTATTGTTTTATTTTTCTCAATTTTATTTATTTCT